AACCGTGATACATTGAAACAAAAATGGCGAAGAACTTTCTTCTCGTCGTACCGGTTTAACACTAGATTGGTTTTATTTGGTATGTTTAGTTTGAGCAATCGGTTAAGATAAATTCCGGTTCAACGTCAATTCAATTGATATTGGAGAGCATGTAATCGAAAACACATACACTAACATTAAAATTCGTTATATGATCTTTCACCAAAACCGTGACACATTGAAACAAAAATGGTGAAGAGCTTTCTTCTCGTCCTACCGGTTTAGCACTGAATTGGTTTATGTAACTCACAAGATGATTCACATTTCAATCTGATAAAATCAGTCGATATCCATCTCTCCCAAAATCTGCTTAAGCTCTTTACCTCTCTTCTTTGCTAACTCAACACAGCTCTGCCAAAAAAATCAAAAACTTTATAAGCCAAACCGGTTTAAATCAAACCGGGGATTCATATAAGAGAATGGTGAAACCTCTCTCTTACCTTGATGGCTGATGAATAAGCAAGAACGTTTCCTCCTGACTTATAGAAAGAAACCATTTGATCCGAGGAATCTAAAACAACGGTGACGAGAGTGTCCATGATCGATTCTTCTTCTGCCGTTGGGTCAGCTAAGATGTAGCTCTTGTGGAGTATGCAAGTTAGAGAGGAAGGGACGTTCTTAAGCGTGAGTTTTCTCTTCTCCTTGTTCACTGCTTCCTTCTTCGATGCATTGCTCTCTTCTTCTCCTTCTCCATTAATGGCAACTATTCTTCCATTGTCGTTCAAAGCAACAACCGGAATTTTCACTGCAATATAAAGAGACACACTTTATACATCAGAGGTCTGAATACAAAACCAGCATTGTGCGAGGAATAAGATAACTATGGCATTGACTAGGTGAAAAGTTAAGATTTGGGCATTTGCTCTTCTTTGTAACCATAAAGGTTCAAACTTTCACTCGGAGCTTAGGAAACAGCTGAAGCCAAAAGTTCAAACTTTCACTCGGAGCTTAAGAAACAGCTGAAGCCAAAGGTTCAAACTTTCACTCGGAGCTTAAGAAACAGCTGAAGCCAAAGGTTCAAACTTTCACTCGGAGATTATGAAACAGCTGAAGCCAAAGGTGTTTTGAGAAGAGCTATGCAAAGAACTAAAGGATGATAGATCGAAGAAGAGCTTACAATTGGAAAAGGCTGCAACAGCAGAGAGCAGAGCAGCGTCAAAGAGAGAACCATCAGCGTCCAGGCAATATATATCCTATAAGAAATTTCAGAGAAGCATCAATATATGTAAAGAACACACTAGATGAATTTTGATTGGATTGACCAGGGAAGCGTGTACTCACCAGATAACTCATCCAAGCAGCTTTACCACTAACTAGGCAGAGTTCTTTAAGATCAATCATTCCAGAACTGTCAATAAAGGGGAAGCCTTTTTAGAAACAGAATACTCAACAAAGAGCACCAAGATGTATGTGAATGGAAAGATTTTCAAAGCAAAAGACCTTAAGATAGTATCGGAGAGACGCTTTGAAATGACAGGAGCAGCTTCAGCTGGTCTTCCAGGACGAACAGTTGGAGAACAAATAGGAGGCATATGGAACTCGATCGCTAAACGAAAGCCGAAAAAGAGTCACAAACGAGACACTAAAGAAGAAGATGAACAAAATCTACATAGAAAGAGAAGCAACAAACAAACCTATGCATCCTTCGTCAGGAGAGTCTGTAGAAGGAGTCATAACTTCCATTCTAATAGCAGCGAGCATAGTCTATACAAAAATACACACACAAAGTACAGAGACTATGTAAAACAACAGTAACATTGCTGATGATATGAAACAGTGAAACGTTTTGGGACTTACTGTGGAACCAATCTTGGCAAGAGCAGATCCATCAGCCGTTGAAACAAGTCCTATACGGAAAGAGAATCACAATCAAAGTGACTGACTTTAATGATCAAAAGTAAAGTAAAAAGAATCAATTTTTTAAGTTAATTTTACCAAGGTTTACAATGGTGTCTCTGGCTTTGCCAAGTGGTCTAGCATCAGGACGGAGAGATTCAGAGAGATGACGCTCGAAGAAACGAAGAGGGAAGATTCTTCTGAAAGCATCAACATCCATCTCTGACGACAAGTCTTGAGTAGAATCTGGTAATCCCATTGTTTCTTTGCTTCAGATTCTGTGTAAAGGAGTTTATCAATTTCTCATATGAACAGAGACAAAAGGGCACAACTTTATCTTATTGAGAGAGACAGAGAAACATCACTCAACGACTAAACTTCAAGCTTGATAGCAAAAAAAATAAAAAGGGTTTCTGTTTCGGCCATTGATGCTAAAATCCTAGATACTGTAGAGAATACGCAAAAACTAATGGTGTTCATCATCAACAAAGCAGGAATAAAACTTACCTAGGAACAAATAAAAATTGGGATTGAGGCGAAAAGCTGTTAGGTAATGAGTAGAGGCAAGCAGGAGAGTGTGAAAAAATTGCGGGCGAGCTCGACGGTGAAGGAGGGAGACTTGACGGTGACGGTGACGACGGCGAGCGACTGCTAGGTTTAAACTAAAGCATACTTCTTATTTCTAAATGGGCCGGAGTTAAAGCCCAATAATATGTCCGTAGAAATGAAACCCAAACAAAATAGCTTTCCTTAATTAAGTATGAAAATTATGGTGCAGTAACGTAAGGCAGTAACTAAGAAAAGTATAAAAAGCTAAACTAACATGTATTTTTGTTTAATAAACATAAGTAATTCGATTAGCTTATTTATTAATTTCTCTTGGAAAAATATCAAAAAAAAAATAATCAAACTTAATTTCTATTAGCATTTTTAATTCACAATTAATGCAAATAATCATTTTGCAAAGGCTGAGACTATATCTGAAGAAAGATTGATGCAAACGAATTAGGTGAGTTGGATTAAGGTTTAGTAAACAACTTTTCTAAATTAGAATTGAAGACAAACCATAAAACGCACATGATTTGCTCCATATTAAGATGACCATCAGTATAGGAGGATGGCTTATTCGGCTATGACCAATGATCAAACATAAATCAAGTGGCTTATTCAGCTAGAACCAAACAAACACATGTTTTTGGAAAACCCTTACCATATGAAACAATGAATCGATTAAATACAAGCATTAGTCTAATCACCAAAACAGGTTACACAAATGGTCAAATGATTATGTGAGACAACGAATCATCTTGCATTGTCTATACAGCGATTGCACAGAGGAGAAACTTGTAAATTACTATCTAATTGGAGCATGACTTCACACAGATTCCATCATATCAAATCTTAAAATCAATTCACACAGATTCCGAATTAACAAACCTACGATTTCACAAACCTAAGAAATTTCCTTTTGTAAACCTCACACATATTCTAAATTCCAATTGATTCTTAACAAAATAAAAGAATGATCAAGATTACTTACCGCCGGTATAGGTTTCAGAAAAAACGTAGCCGGGATAAGGGCATCATGAATTTCGCATAAGAGCTGACGGTGGTCTTCCCTCCGGCGCAACTCGAGGTGACATTTCCCCATCAAAATTGGTGTCTTGTCTTCCTATATATTTCTCAGCCAAGCTTTATAGGCAATATTGTGTAAGCCTAAGAGATATAAAGAAGGTTTTTAAGATAAAAAATGATTAAAGAAAATATTTAATCAAACATATTCTAAAAGTAAAACTCGAGACTATCTAAGCAGAAATTAAAAACCCAACATGTGTCGAGTCCTTCCCACCGATACAAACGCCTTTTTCCGTTTTAAAATAAATTTTATTATTTCAATTTCAATTTAAATATTTATACATTATTTATAATTATTAAATTTCTTTTGGTTAAAATGGTTGTTAAAATGGCTTATGATTGGGGCTTCATCTAGTTTAGTTTGAATTCAATTTTTTGGTGTTGTATGGGGTTATTGGTAGATGAATTTGTAAGAATTGTTAAAATTTTCGGAAACCTTTGTTATTGGTTTATGAATTCAAACAATCTTATTAAAAAAATGTTGTTATTGGTTTGGTGATTTATAAAGTCCATACAAAATTAGTTCTTATTCAAAAAGTTTCTGTTTTAGTAATTTCATGAGTCCATTAAAATCTTTGTTACTGGGATATGGATTTTAAACAATTTAACTCATGGAACAAGATTTCCAAAATACTATCTGCCTATAACCCTTAGATTTTCAAAATTCATTGTAACATAATATTTTGATTGATTTTATTAATATACAAACTCTCTCCAAATCTAACATAAACTCTTTATAAATTTAACAAATCTCTTAACTTTTAAAATTTATCAACTCTATATAAATTCATCTTCCAATAATAACCCCCTAAGAAGTTTTACTAAAACCATTTATTTTTGTTTTGTATATTCAGAGTTTGAAATATATATATGTACCAAAGGCAATGCTAATAATTGACAAATTCCATTTTATTTTTATGTTGATTACATTATATGCCATTAGCACTTATGTTAGTTACAAAGCGTTTGATAGTAGATCATTATCGTTTTAATATAACTTGGAAGAAAATTTTCAGGAAACCAAATGGTGAATATCTGTGAAAGGTCTGATGTATTGTAATTTTTCATGTTTATGACCAGCAACAAGCGAAGAAGAGATGTCTGTTGTTTCGTCATGTTTCCCATATGAAACCAACTCATAACCATTTTTGCTGTGTCACTGTTTTACCATCATGTGGCTGTGATGGTTTCGTATAAACTATGGGAAAAGATTACTTGAATATTAAAGACTTGTGATGCAAGGCACACTACGAGACAATTTATACCTGTGTTCTAAAACTCTTTACGCGGTACTAGGGCGCTCTGTCTCCTTCTAGCGATTTTCTCAAAAGTCGGAAATAAATCGGAGAGTACTCGGAGATTAATTTTAAGTATATTTTTATATATTTCCTACATTTTTAATTTTATATATATAATACATCAATATGAAAATCATATACTACATTATTACCAAATAACATTCTTTTTTGTAAATATAATACATCAATATAAAAATCATATACTATATTTTCAAGGTTTCATGTTGAATTTTACACACTTTGGGCGAATTGGGGCTAATTGTGAACAAAAATCAAACTTTAGCCTACCAGATTTTAACATTTACTTGCTGGTTTTTATAATAATGTGAATGCCAAAGTACAGTCAACGATTGACCATATCTTTACTCGGTTTTTAAAAAGTCGGAACGACAATCTCCTTCTGGCGGTTTTAGAACCGAGTACTTGGCAACTCGGCCGACTTTTAGAACACAGATTTATACACGTCTACGTTCAAAACTCCGAAAAAAGCTAAAACAAAATTCCAAAAAGGACCCATTTCGAATAAAAAAAAAGATAATACTAAAAAAAAGCATAATAATAAAACGTCTTTTCGTCAATTCTTTTTCAATTACGAAGATCCCGATGACTAAATCCCAATCTTACTTTACACTTATTCTAGGAGTGAACAACAACCTTGACAAAGGCTTTAGCAGCGACTTTGATTCTCTCCTTCTCCAGCTCATCTCTAAGATCCATCACCGTATACTGCAACGACCTAACTTTATTAGCAGAAGTAGCGTACTTGGCATTCTCCTTGTTCAGTTCAAAGATGCGATTCTTGATCTGTTCCTTGAGTTCTTCGACTCGAGACACATCACCATTTTCTTTCCTCCTCTCCAAGGACACTTGCTCAAGCTTTGTATCTTCATCCAGTCTAGCTTGAATCCTGCTTCTGTTAGCTCGATCAGCTCACTGCGAGCGTTGCTTAGGGCAGTCTTGGAGATGCTAAGTGGAGGCTTGTTCAGTGTCTCGATAAGACCAAGGAGGATATTCATGTATGTTGTCTTCACTAACTGGTTCGAGAGTCTGAAATTTACTGCAACGTCCGGGTGCTTCACGAACAGCCTAGCCACTGATATAACCTATCAGCATGAGAAATATCTAATTATGTTAACTAGAAAAGAGAATGGTAAAAGTAAAAAAAAATCAATATCGTAAGAATTAAATCATACCTGAGAATAAAGAATTTGGAAACCATAATAAACAAACTTCTCGTTCTCAGTTGGATCTCCTTCATCAACAACTTCAACTACTTTGACATTGACTTTTAACTATCAGTTTGTTATTCTCGAGAAACCCTTTTTCTTTAAGGGTTTTAAGAGGCAATGTCCTTGCCTGACCCCATGATGAGAACTGAGCGCAGAACAATTGGCATCCTTTAGTAAGAGAGAAATACAAAGATTCATTAAATTTTCTTCCTCGACAATCAGATTCATTATATATACTGATAAGTAAATTACCATCTTTTCTAAAAAGATCTTTGCATGATTGATTCAACAGAACCAAAGAATAAATAGCTCGTCTTTTCCATCCACGTCTCAGTGATTCAGGATTCGCAACACATAGGTACAGAGACATGTGATCATCAACAAGATCTCCTTTGGGAAAAACCTTGACAAACCTGAACAAAATAAAATAAAGAAAAACAGATTTCATTAATAACACAGAAAAGATATTAATTTTATCAAAAAAAAATAAGAGAAGATATTAATGGAATAGAGAGGACGAGTCTAGAGTAAAGTTACACACGCACATATACATAAATAATTTATTTTACCATTCGCAGCCACCGCTTGAGAATGTTGGTGAAGATATCACAGCTTCCTTGTCGAAGAAGTTATCTATCTCAAACGTGAAATTCGTCTGCTTTTCCTCCATATTCTGTTTTTAGGATTTGTTACTTCCGAGCTAAACACAAACTTAATTCCTCACAAACTTACGTTGCCCATAAAAATCCATGTAAATATAACAAACAATAGGGAGATCCGGTATATGTGGATATTCTCAAAAGAATAACGTATATCAGTATTTAAAAAAAAAAAAAAAAAAAAACAAAAAACAAACAAACAAACAATTGCGTGTTCTTCTAGATTCGGTAGAAGAAAACTTGAAAGATAAATACTGTACGTAATTAAAAGAGTGAAATAATTTTGTGCATGTAGCTTGAGACTTGGGAGTGTACTCTGGATATTGAGGATTTTATGATAAAATATTTTAACAAAAGAAAAGAGAAATTATTAATTCCATCCGTTCTTGTGCTCTTGTAACTTGGAATCTAACTTAGGTTTGCAAAATAAAAGGACTCTGAATTTGCCTAAAGTAATAAAATCTGTTCTTGGTTAACAAACATTGAACAATTCGATTAGCTTATTTATTAATCTGTCTTGGGATACATGTTTAGTGGAAATACAATAGATTTAAATTGAACAAATGAAAACACAAAATTATTGTTTTTCTTCCCTCATATCATAAAAGATATAAGATTGCCTATGATTTTATTTACTTTAAATATCTTTAAAAAGATCTTCCGCTAACAACCGAATGCTTAAAATTAAAATTTAGTTTTCACTTTTGTAGATCTCAGAAAATATAGGTGGATTTTAGATTTTATATTTTCTTAGTTATCTTATATACTCGTTTCTTAAAACAAGAATATCCGGAAAATGATTATATACATAAATATGTAAAGAGATCGACTTTAGCTACATTTTCACAAACTTCAGGTAAAAAAACCCTTCTGCTTCTTTTCTCTCCCATTTTGTTACATTGATGATCATAATTAATCTTGATGTAATATTTTTTTGTGACAGGAAACATGGCACAAATGTGTCACACATGTACACGTGCAACACCCGTGATCCATTGTCTTACAGAAGGACAAAACTTGTGCTTTACTTGTGACTACCTTCAGCATTGTGATCAACGTGATGCAGCGGGAGAAGGAGCAGGAGAAGTACGGCACGTACGTTACCAAATCTGCGATAGTTGCATGAACAATCCAGCTTTACTCCTCTGCTTTGATCACCGGCTCTCTCTTTGCCAATCTTGTTATTCACAACGTTACAATTGCGCCTCCTATGGCCACCGCAACCAAATCCTCAGCAGCTTGCCTCATCAACAACAACACCATAACAATCACAATAATCAGCATCCTCGTCCTCAGCATCCTGAGCAAGAGCATCGTCTAGGTCACAACGACCAGATAAGAAGATTGATGTTTGGACCAATCTGCGTTGGGGATAATGATTGCGAGAGATGGATGTTTGCTATGGACTGTGAAGAATGCAAAGCTTCAAACGCTGTCGTTTATTGTTATCAACACGACTCTCTTCTCTGCGATAATTGTGATCGTGTTAATCATCCTTTCCTGCCTCATGTTAGGGCTAGGCTTTGCGTGACGTGTAAGAGACCCTCTCGGTTTTACCACATCGGGTATGTTAACGTCATGATTATACCACCGTATCATCCTCCTGCTGCGCCGGCAGCTTAAGAGGTGACGCCCTGACGGCGCTCCGATCAAGGCCCAGCCAACAAGATAGCAAATTTTCTTAATTATTATTACCATTTTTTTATTTTTTTTTTGAAAAAAAATGTTTAGGGTTTATTCTTTTTTCTATCATGTTATCATCTTAAAATTGTATTGGAATATGTTAATGTTTTGACCAAACTAATGGCCATCTTTTAGATTGAGGGGGAAAATTTGAGATATACTGAATGGTATCATGGGAAAAATGTCATAAAAATCACGAACTTCCAAATCAATTATATGAACTCTAGAAATCGATTTTGCATCTCTTGATTTCTCTCTCAACCAAATATCCATCTTCATCATAATTTTTTTGCAACAACATGCTTAACTTTAATTTTCATATGCAAAATTGATTTGAAATTTTAGGGTTTGTGAGGTCAATTTTTGGAATTTAGGAAAAAAATAAAACAATGTCGTATTAGTTTAACCAATTTTAAAACATGCAATTAATGATATTAAATTGTACGGTCAAACCCCTGACGGTGTGCTTATTTTGACTCAGTCAATAAAAGTTTAAGATTAAATAAAACGTCAATAAAAATTTGGGGTTTATTATAATTTTCCAAGAGTTCAAGTTTTTTTCTGCCATTCTTCTAAAAGTTTGATTTTAAGAAGAAGTTTTTTATTTTATTTTAAAAGTTAACTCAAGGTTGTTAAGGTTGTTAGGGGTAGAAACTCTATAAATTAATCTTATCATATCAAGTTGGATGTTCGCGACGTGGTTGCAAAATATATATTACTAGGAGGTGACCCGCGCTTCGCGCGGGAATTTATATTATTGTGTTAATTTTATTGTTTTTCCGCAAATTTAGTTTATTTCTATTGTTTATTATTGTTTCAAAAATATTACACATATTAATTAAAAATAATTAAGATTAGGCAAAATTAACATACCGTCTTGTCCCATTGTATCCCATTTCGTTCATTTTCATCATGTCTGTTCTTTCTCGTCTCATCCGTCATGTATGTCCTGTCCCGTCCTATCCCATTATGTTCCTTTCCATTTTGTTATGTCCCATCATGTTCCTTAAATATAACTAAGGATAGACAAAATTCTCGTATAGTCCCATCCCGTTCCATTTCATTCTTTCTCATCTTGTCCCGTTCTTTCCCCGTCCTGTTCGCCCTATTGAGTCCCATCCTATCTGTTATATTTTTTTTCTTTCCGTTTTGTCTTGTCTTTGTCCGATCCCTAAATATAATTAGGGTGGGTGAAATTTATGTCACGTTCCTTCTCGTCCCATTATGTCCCTTTCATCCCGTCATGTCCAATCCCGTCTCATTCCATTTTTTTCATCTCGTCATATCTAATTTGTCTGTCTTGTCTCGTCCAGTCTTATCCCATTTCTCTCGTTATGTTTTTTCGTCTTATTATGTCCGGTCTTGTCTCATTTCATCCCAAAATACTTTAAAAAATCAGTGTTCTTTATATAATATCTTGACATCAATGTAAATTATCTAATATAACAAAAATAAATTTACTAAATAATAGTTTTTGTAGATCTATATATAGTCGTCCTCCTTTTTTAAAAATGACTTTTCATATTCTTTTTAAACTTATTATAGTAATGAACGCTAATTATTATGAAATTAAAATATTAAAAAAATATATATAATAAATTAAATAAAGTTCTGACGTGGCGAATTTAGAAGCAACCGAAGAGAGGAACATGAACTTTATATATATATATATATATATTTTTGGCAAACGACATATATAATTTTTATAACTCATAAAATCTTGTCATATGTCATTATTAATTATACTCATATTGAGTTGACATGTGTTTTGGAAAATAAAAAAGGAAAAACACTAAATAAAAATGTGTCAAAAAGGGAAAAAAGCATATTTTCCAGATTGTAATGGAAATTCTCTTCATATTCTAACCCTAAAAGGAAAACAATGGTAAAAAATAATTCAAAAGGTATTAAAAAAAGACAAACAAATTTTCCATATTCTCATATAAAAAGGGAACAAAAATATTTTTGCATGCTCATATAATCCTCAAAATATTCTAAGAAAGGTAAAAAGGTTCTATATTCTAATGGAAAAAACAAAAGGAAAATATTTTATATGTCTTACCATGCCTTATATAATACTTCCTCCATTTTTTTAAGATGAATTTTCTAGACATTAGTTGTTGTTTCACAAAGATAAATTTTCTACTTTATTATTACTCTTTTTCAGTTTTCAAGAAACAATAATTGTATTTGTTAGATTTTTATTGGTTGAAAATTATAGAAAGTTGTTTTATTGCAAAAATCAATACACTAATGATTGAAAATCTGCTTTTCCTTCATATGTGTGAAAATCCTAGAAAATTTATCGAAAAAATAAAACGGAGGGAGTAAGTTCTAATCCTCAAAGTATAATTTAACTGTATATTTACAATTATGTAACCACACTTAATTAATAAAGTAACTCAAACTAAATAATTAATTATTATGTTAGATTTTTCAAGTGGAAATTTCCACACTATAGGTGTAGTTTTGAAAATTTGCACCTCAAGAGGTGTATTTCATAAAATTTATCTTTTTTTAATTTCAGTATTTTCAAAATATTTTTTTAAGTTTATTATGGTTATGAGTATTGTTTAATTATTTAAATAAATCATAATTAATTAAATTAAAATGTTAAATTAATTACAAATTGAAGGACTATTTTATAAATAAAAAAGTTCAATGGCAAAATAGCATATTGCATAATCTCATGCCAAATATAGAAGCAAAAATAGCATAATGCTATTTTGCAATAGCATATGCAATTGGGTTGAAGCAAAAATTATGGCAAAATAGCATATATGTTATATTTAGCATGGGGTTGGAGAAGCTCTCAGACCATCTCCAATGGTTCATGCCATATGTTATTGCAAATGGCAAAAATATAGCAATAGCATTGGGTTTCTCTCCAATGGCTCATGCTATAATTTTTTTTTCAACTTATTATTAATTACTAAAACTATTTGATTTCTTCAAATTTTACAAAGTGAATCATCTATTTTTCTTTCTTGCAAAAAGATCATCAGTTATAATTTTACAAAGTGAATCATCTATATTATGGTTATGTTTTTATATTTTCTATGAAATAAATATTATTTATATTTTAAAAGAATTATGAGTATTGCTTAATTATTGAAATAAATCATAATCAAAATAGTTAAACTGTTAAATTAAAAGTATTTACAAATTGAAGGACCATTTTATAAATAAAAAAGTTCAATGGCAAAATAGCATATTGCATAATCTCATGCCATATATAGAAGCAAAAATAGCATGATGCTATTTCGCAATATCATATGCAATAAGATTGGAGCAAATGCTATGGCAAAATAGCATATATGTCATATTTAGCATGGGGTTGGAAATGCTCTCAGTAGACATATTTTTACCATTTTGGCTACTGAACTTTATGGAATTTTAGCTATAATTTTTGTTTTTTTAGGATTTATATGCTGTCAAGTGACACCGTATATTACCTTTACTAGATTCACCATTGGTAAGGTGTGAGCTTGTCATATGTTGGCTGAGGAGAATTGTTGAATCTTAGACCCGGACTCCAAAATAACATAGGAAGCAGATATAGAGGTTATCTATTTGCTAGCTACATCGCTTGTAAGAGGTGTCCACAACAATTGTGTAAGCGGCCAGCAGTTCACCCACCGCCGAAACCTTTGCCATCGATTTCCACAGGAAATATTTTGAAGAGGCTGACTGATTCAAACGTTGTGGCTGCAGTTGTTGAAGTTTAATGAAGCAGGCGATTGCAATTAAGAGCGTTATAAACCGGTTTGTATGAATGATATAATGTTTGAAAACATATGTAGTTGTGAGATAATTATGATTGGTTGACTTGTAGATATTGTAACGGTTAAACAATAAATTAACAATACATACACTTGTATTATTTCGCTTAAGTGACAACAAAATGTTTTGATTGGCTAATAGGAGAAGGCTAACATGTCAAATGTGACATAGATGCTGACAAAATATGTTTAGAATGTTAGTAGTATGTGACTAGACTATTTTGTCAAGATATACTGGTCACATGACAGACTCAAAATGTTTTTTCATTGTGAATATAAAACGAAAACTAATTACAATTGTTTTTCTAATATTAAAAATCAGAATAATAATTTCAGTGTTTTTATGAAATAACAATCATTTATATTTTCAATTCGAATGTATATCGATACTAATAATATTAACTCATTTATAACTCTGAAATTGATTAGCCTCTTGTATAAATTATTTGAATAGTAAAAATTAGATGGAATAGTATCCTTTCGAATATGCACATTATTTTTATTTTTATTCCTTGTAGATATTGTATAGAGTTTATATGACAGAAATATAATTTCGAAATTTTCAATTACTTATTCTAATCATCCTTGATTTCATCAACAAAGCGTAAATTAACGAGGTAAATGCAGTTTCTCTTGAAAACTGAAATATAGAATTAAAATGAATCATTACATTGTGAATTAAATTCTATGATATTTCAGTTTATATTAAATTAACCTAACCATTAGAATGGGAGGAGGGTATATTCGGCTTGAGCCAAGAGCTAAAGCTAAAAAGGTAAAAGCTAAATAAACGAAGTCTTGTTTTATCACTAAGAAAATTCAGTACATAATCTACCGGACAATTACGGAAATAAACCATACTGAAATCATGATAATCAAATAGATTATATAGCGTCTCATAATCGATTTTTTTTTTTCCATTAAAATTTGCAGTATATGACTTTTACAAAACCAACTATTTGATATAGCTAAAATTTGGAGTTCTAAAATCCATTAAGACTATACTTCAAAAACTTCTAAAAAGCAAAAAATAAAGCATTAATACTATATAGTAGTACATCCCCATAGTTTTTTTTTTTGTGTACTCTTCACAACTTCTGTCCGCTTTCTTCAAATCATCGTCTTCTCCGTTACTTCTCTGGGCCGAGTGTCAGCTCAAGATTGAGATCACCATCTCCATCTCCATCTCCATCTCCATCTCCATCTCCAACCCCAACCCCAACCCCAACCCCAACCCCAACCCCAACCCCAACTTGCTCTTGCTCTTGCTCAAGACCATCTCCAACCTGCTCTTGTCTTCTCCGTTTTCTCTCTGGGCTGTCTCCATCTCCATCTCCATCTCCAAGATGCTCCTGCTCTTGCTCTTGAACAAGGTTAACTCCATCTACATTCTGCGCCTCAGCGTTTAGTTGTGGATCCGTCAGGTTCACATGAACAAATAGAAGACACATCAAAACGAACTATTTCAGAAGAAACAAGAGTAAAACATGTTTACCGTCAGGTTCACATGAGGTGCTGCTCCAGAAACAGAACCTGGAAGCCCCGAGCCTGTGAAGCCAGGTGGAGGGAGAAACTGGTGTTCAGCTGCTGAATTAGGCTGTAAACATTCCATACGAATGATGTTAAGAGTGTTTTAATGAACAAAAAAAACGAAACTTATTGAATGGGCTGTGAGAAAGAAGACTAAAAGATGTTTACCGCTAGGTTCACATCAGGTGCCGCAACTCTAGAACCAGAACCTGTAAGCCACGATCCAGAGAAACCACGTAGTGTGGGAGAAACGGAAACAGTGCCAGTTGGTGGGAGAAACTGGTTTAGAGCTGCTGAATGAGGCTGTCAACAAGCAATATATTCCATCAATGATCTTAAGAGTGTGTTTATAGGAAGAGATAATGAACAAAAGAAAAACAAAATTTTACCCCAGTTTGTGGAGGCGTAGGATGTAGTAACTGAGCAAGTTCAAAACCAGTTGGTACTCTCCGGTTTGATGCTGGTGCTCTAACACTTGGGTTAGGTGGTGTGGGCAAAGAGGAACCAGTGGCAAACTGGTTTAGAGCTGCTGAATTAGGCTGTGAACAAGCAAAACATTACATACAATGAAGTCAAGAGTGTGTTTATAGAAAGCGATAATGAACAAAAAAAACAAACGAAACTTTACCCCAGTTTGTGGAGGCGTAGGATGTAGTAACTGAGAAAGGGCACCATAATCAACAACATTGATCCCACCAGTTGGAAGACTCGGGTCAAGACACGACTGCATCCACATCCAAGAAAGGCATATCAATTACAGATTCCAAAAGCACCAAAACCACAACATACAAAAATAAGACTGTGTTCCACTTACCAAATGGCTACCAAAGTGGTTCACAGTAACTTGATGCTTTGATCGAATACATGCAACACTCGGTTCTAGGAAACTTGCTGTACAGAGAATCAGTGATTCTGATACACACCGAATCAGCCCAGGACTTTGTCTGCATCGACCACATAGAGGAGAATGCCAATGTACATGTTGTAATTGCTCTATTGGTTGGAAGGTCGCATTGAGGCAGTTTCTAGGCCCACGCTCAGTCCAGCAGAAGTAAGGCTGTGGAAACATTTCTTTACTGCGATATGACCTGTGAATAAACCTAGTCTATCAGAACGGTAAACCAAAAAATGCAGAACAAAACCAAGAGGAAGATTGATTAAGAAGCATATGCGATTAAAAAAAAAAAACCAAAGAGACAGTGTACTTCACCCCAAGATTCGATTTTACAGAGAACGCAACTTAACAAACCAAAGATTTTCGATTTTCGATTTACAGAGGAAGCATTAACATATTAATCAAAACACAGAAGAAGAAGAAGCATGTGCTTTAAAGAACCAAGAGACATCCGAAAAAAACAGAGGATCACAAGACGAAGTATGTGCGATGTAAAACCCAAGATTTTCGATTTAACAGAGGAAGCATTAACAAACTGATCAAAACCCAGAAGAAGAAGAACCATGTGCTATGAAGAACCAAGAGATATCCGAAAAAAAACAGAGGATCACAAGAGGAAGTATGTGCGATTATACAAACAAAGACACAACGTAAAACCCAAGATTTTTGATTCAACAGAGGAAGCATTAACAAACTGATCAAAACCCAGAAGAAGAAGAAGCATGTGCTATGAATAACCAAGAGACATCCGAAAAAACAGAGGATCACAAGAAGCATATGTTGCAGAAAAGCTATTGGAACCACGATGAAGAAGAGGAGACTTACAGACTAACAAGGAAGGATGGCGATGATTGCACACAACTGATCTTCGTCAATCGTCCACAACTGATCTTCGTCAATCGTCGCAGCAAGAAAACGTTTTTAGAGTCTGCAAGAAAACTTGTTTAGAGTAGCAGAAGAAACAGAGCCCGCCAGAGAAAAAAAATTTATGAAGTTAAATAAAGTGACCTGATATACACGCTGACGTGTCACTGAGATATTGGATCGGGTCGGGTCCATGAACCGGGTCTTCTTTTTGACCCGGATGATCCATATCCACGAATCGGGTCCATCTATGCCTATGATGCATATGTATTTCGAAAATGTGAGTAAATGGGCCCAACTAAAAGCCCAAATCCGAAATCTTATTTGGATAACACTCTCCATCCTGCTGACACGTGCATCTCTCAATTTTTAAAAATATTTTTCACGCTTCAATCTTCCTCGCACCAAAAATCACTTCATCTTCCTGGTACAAAAAAACGATACATAATCAAAATATAATCTAAATCCAAATCCAGAAAAGTAACCAAAGCTATTGAATACAATTCCACAGAAAGCCTAAACGATACAGAATCTAAGTCTAATCCACAATCAGATATTAAAACAAATGGATATGAGAATCAATCAATTGATTGAAATCGTTGCAATATAACAAAAAACTAGCAGAATATATGTTGAATTCACATCCATGAACCATTGAATGTAATTGTTGCAATATAACAAAAATATAGCAGAAAATATTGTATGTTAAATCCAAATCAATGAAACATTGTAAAAAGAAGCACAAAACCGAGTAGATCTGAGATTAGAAATACAAACCTGAGCAGACTCGTAGGCAGAGAGGGTGCTATCGGCGGCGGCTTCTCTCTCGGCGCCGATCTTAAACTCGGCCAAGTACCTGAAGTAATCGCCCTTCATCTTGAGGTAGAAGACCTTGGAGTCGCCGGAAGGGATGAGCGTAGATTCGAGCAGCTTGAGGATCCCGTCGCAGATCCCGGATAGCTCCGACTCGATCTTCGTCTTGTAATCGTGGATCGTGTTGATGTGGTCAACGTTGCCGCGGCTCTCTTCCTTCTGCTCGATCGAGGAGATGATCCTCCACGAGGCATGGCGAGCGCCGATCACGTTTTCGTAAGCGGCGGAGAGGAGATTTCGCTCCTCGACGGCGTCCACCAAGCTCGGCCGTCTCCAAGAGCCCCACATCGGGAAAGTTCAGCGGCGGCCGATGTCATAAATCTCATTTTCAGCAGATTGGAGAAGACAGACTTTTGCAAATCGGTCTGCTTAGGTTTCGATAATTTTGGGTGTTTAATCCGCGTTAACCGGTTTGAACCGAAATATTCTCTTAGTACGGTTTAAACTAACGGTACTAACGTCGATTTATGCCCTATTTCCTTTTAATAAGAAATGATTAATTGGCCCAAAATAACATATTGGCCCAAAATGACGCATTGGCCCAAAATGACACAAACCATGTTGTCTTCTCCGAGGCTGAAGCTGTTTCACACGCGGCCATCACTCCCCAGACGTCGGCTTTCATCGTCTTCACCTCTCTTGCTATCGGGGACTCACTGAATTCCTCTTCCGATTATCCACCAGCCGCCATGGATTCCGGTAAGTCTCTCGCTCGACGAACCTCTTCTTATACTTTCGAAGAGTTACTTTTAGGTCCGAGTACGATTTAGTTGGTTTTGTCACAATTAAAGAATCATGGATTTCAATCGGTGTTTCTTACATACATTTGATGGTCAAAGATTTCAGATTGGTGATAGATGAATGAATTGTGCTGATTTTCTTTTCTGATCAACCACTGTGACAGATTTATACCGAACAGATCCGCCATGGATTTCGACTGTGCACACTACGCTCTTACTGAAGGTAAAGATCAAACCGCAGCGGTTAGAATGAGATGAGTAACTTAATTGGCGCAGGCCGGAAACTTGGCAGCTCCTGTGGAAGAATGGACTATCGGTGGAACTGCTCTGATGGCTGTAGAGAGGATACATGGTATGAATCTAAACAAAGACAAGCTTATTTTATT